CCCAGGCTTTTTCAGATCCAGGCCAGCTGGCCTTGGTGAGTTCCCGATAGAACATCCCCATTGTCTCAGTGTGTGGGTGTACCCCTCGCGGTCCTGAGTTCCTTGCTCATGCTCTCTCTCCTTCTGCTCCTGATTTGGACCTTGAGATTTCTGTCCGGTGCTCCACTATCCTGAGTGAGGTAAGCCAGACCCAAAAAGAGGAACATGGGATGTACTCACTCATATTTGGTTTCTAGCCATAAATAAAGGACATCGAGCCTATAATTAGTGATCCTAGAGAAGCTAAATAAGAAGGAGAACCCAAAGAAAAACATATAGGCATCCTCCTGAATCTTAACCTTCATCAGGCAATGAAAGGAGACAGAGACAGAGACCCACATTGGAGCATCTCCACTTTCTTTATGGAGGCATTTAGTGCTATGAACTTTCTTCTTAGCACTGCTTTCATTGTGTTCCATAGGTTTGGGTATGTTGTGAATTCATTCTTATTAAATTCTAGGAAGTCTTTAATTTCTTTCTTTATTTCTTCCTTGACACAAGGGTGATTCACTTGAACACTGTTCAATTTCCATGAGTTTGTAGGCTTTCTGTAATTTAGGTTGTTGAATTCTAACTTTAAGCCATGGTGGTCCAATAAGATACAGGGAATTATTCCTTTTTTTTTTTTTTTATGTATCTGTTGAGATTTGCTCTGTTACCGAGTATGTGGTCAGTTTTAGAGAAGGCTGCATGAGGTGCTGAGAAGAAGGCATATTCTTTTGTGTTTGGGTCAAATGTTCTATAGATGTCTGTTAAGTCTATTTGAGTCCTGACATCTGTTAGTTCTCTTATTTCTCTGTTAAGTTTTTGTCTGGCAGACCTGTCCATTGGTGAGAGTGCGGTGTTAAAGTCTCCTGCTATTAGTTTGTGGGGTTTGATGTACAATTTAAGACTTCTTTGTTTCCCTCCCTCCCTCCTTCCGTTCTTTCTTTCTTTCTTTCTTTCTTTCTTTCTTTCTTTCTTTCTTTCTTTCTTTCTTTCTTATCAAGACAGAGTTTCTCTGTAGCTTTGGTTCCTGTCCTGGAACTAGCTCTTGTAGACCAGGCTGGCCCTGAACTCACAGAGATCCGCCTATCTCTGCCTCCCAAGTGCTGGGATTAAAGGTATGTGCCACCACTGCCCAGCTCACCCACTTGTTTCTTAGGTCCATTTGATTGGAAAATATTTTACTTTGAGGTAATGTCTGCCTTTGAGGTTAAGGTGTGTTTCTTGTATGCAGCAGAAGGATGAATCCTGTTTTCATATCCATTCTGTTAGCCTGAGTCTTTTTATAGGTGAATCAAGTCCATTGATATTAAGAGATGTTAATGACCAGTGATTGTTAATTCCTATTAGTTTTTAGTGGTAGTGTTTTAGTGTGTTTTCCTTCTTTGGGGATGGCTGGCATGAGGTTATCTTTTGTTTTCATGGGTGCAGCTAACTTCCTTGGGTTAGGCTGGGTTTGTGGATAGTCCAGGACCACCTGCCCAGGGCATCACTGCCCATGGTGTGCTGGGTTCTTCCTCATCAGCCATCAATCAGAAAATCAAAGCCCCACTGACTCCCCTGTAGGGCTATCTGGTGCAGGCATTTTCTCAGTTGAGGTTCCCTCTTCCCAGATGAACCTAACCAGCAGTCTGTGTAACCACAGAGGTGACCTTGAATTCCTACCTTTGGAGTGGTGAGATTGCAGGCATGTACCACTGTGTCCTACTTATGCTATGCCAGAGCTCAAACCCAGGGTCTCATGCTTTCTAGGCAAGAATTCTACCAAGTGATCATATCCCCAGTCTCCATGTAGCTTTTAAGTTCAAGAAAAAACAGCAAAGTTAAAAATTATATGCTCACCAAAATTGCAAATTCATAGACTATAACTACAAAAAAAATCATGGTAGGGTGTAAAAGTAGAAATTTTATTTGCTGTGTTGAGACCTTTAAAAACTCCTTTCCTTCTTCAGACTGTCCAATGCGGAAGGGCTAAGAGTTTTCTACAACTGTAAGGCATACTTGAAAACAGACAGAAAGTAAATTGGTGGCTGCCAGGCTCTGGAGGAAGGAGGAACATGAAGAGCTAACAGGCATGAGGTTCCTTTCTGGGATAATGAAAATATTTTGAAATTTTTTTGTGGCAATTGGTTCTACAATCTATGAGTATACTCACCCCACTTTGGTCGAAACAGTTAATTTTATGTTATGTGAAGTTTATCTCCATAAAAATAGGTGGAAGAGCCAGGACTGACTCCACAGAGCTGAGGTCACCCATACCTCATCTTTGTTCTTTTTTTTTTTAATAGTAAAGGGCAATCGCAAGTGCGAGTTGAACTGCCAAGCAACCGGCTACCGCTTCTACGTGCGCCAAGCTGAGAAGGTCATTGATGGCACCCCCTGTGATCAGAACGGCACTGCCATCTGTGTCTCGGGACAGTGCAAGGTAAGGGCCACCGGGCTTGGGAGTCTGTGGTGCGGGTATTTAACCTGGGGCCGATGGTTTCACAGGGCGGAGGTGAGCCAGCTTGGCGGCTCAGAGTGTTTGATCTTTGAGAGCAGCGCCGTGTCATGCTAGCATTTCAATCATTAACCGATTTATTTGCACACGGCATACTTCATAGGGGCCTTGACACTTGACACTGTCTTTCCTGGTGATGTCTGGTGCTCCTTCTCCACCTATGAAGTCGAGGTTGTAGAAAGGGCATGGCTGTCTTAGTTGGAAATGGACGGCGCCAATGTGTGAATGGTATTTTAAGAGACTGGTCTATTTTATTTTGCCTTCCCCATTCGAGGCAAGCTTCCAGAGGAAAGTTGTTGAGCGCCTTTAATAGCAGAAGGCGAACTTTAAACAAGAAGTTTCCCACCTCCTCAACCTTCTGAAATCTACTCTATGAATTCTCACCACACATTCTGTGGGGGCAGATTTAGTTAAAAACATGCATCTTACTAAGAGAGCACAGACTTCATAACTGCATGTGTCTCTACCTGGCCCTCTGTCCTCCTTTCGTCTACCAATGGACCTCTGAAGCCAAGGCCTAATTGTTGTCCCTGCAAAATGGGCTGCAATGCTCTTTCAGTTAGCGCGCCAAAGATGGCCTGATTGGCTTTCATCCAAGGAGAAACCCTTTGGCTATAACGTTTTTGAATGTAAATTTCTGTGTGTTTAATACTAAAGTGAATAAAGTATAATTTATATATCTCTATGTACATCCTCCTCCCTCATTGCCTTCCAAAACAAAAACGCAACCAACCCTTCTGTATAAGTATTCGTGTGTATGAATGCAGATGCAAGCCTCTTCCACAGCACATGCGTGGAGTAGAGGATAAAGTCAGTCTATCTTTTACCTTGTTTGGAGAGAGGGTTCTGTGTTCTGCTGGTATTCCATCCAGCCTTGCTGGTCCAAGCTTCCTGGGATTCTCCTGCCTCCACCTCCCATCTCACCATGGGATTACTGTACTCCCACACTTGGCATTTTGTGGACAGTGAGAATCCAAATTCAGACCCCTGCTTGCATAGCAGGTGATTTACCCACTGAACCATCTCTCCAATGCCCACCCCCAGTGGCTTAGAAACTTCTCTTTTATTTTAAAAGAGCAACTTGTTGGTATGAATTCTGTCGAGTTTAGCCTCAGTGACCCATGGTCACAAAGATTCCTGCAGTCTCAGTTTCCCGAATTATATTACAATATTAATCTTCAGAGGAGATGCATCCATCGGTGCTGTTTCCATGAGAAAGTTTCAAATAAAATGTAACAGCATTGGTCATATCAGGTGGAGAATGAAGGCAGTTGAGAATGACGGAGACAGAGGCTCTCCTTGATTTCCCATGTGAATGAAATGTTTTTGGAGGAGCCAAACCTGTAATGGTTTTTTCTTTGGTCTGCCAGCTCCTGAATAATGACACAGAGACTTTTTATTAATTCCAAATCTTGGCCTTAGCTTTGGCTTATTCCCAGCTAACTCTTAAAACTTAAATTAACCTGTTTATGTTAATCTACATTCTGCCATGTAACTCGTTCCCTCTCCTCAGTACCGTATCTCTGACTTCCTCCATGTCTAGCTGGTAAATCTCTGGCACCTAGATTCTTTCCCAGATATTCTCTCTCTCCCTGGAAGTCCCGCCTATCCTCTTTTGCCTAGCTATTGGTCATTCAGCTCTTCATTAAACCAATCAGAAGGTGCCTTAGGCAGGTGAGGTTAAACAGACACACCTTCATGCAGTGTACAAAAAGATTTTCCTGACACAAACATCCCAGGAGTCGGTGCTCTGTGAAGAACAGACTACTTCAGCATCCCATCAGGGCAAGCATTAGCACTGCGCAAGCCAGCAAAGAACCCTCTGGTGTGCTATGTGCTGAGTCCTGTACTATATGCTGTGTGTGTGTGCGTGCGTGTGCGTGCGTGTGTGTGTTACATGCATTTAGATGCTGGAGGTTGACAAGCCTACCTTTCTCAGTTGCTCTCTGCCTTCATTTTTGAGACAAGATCGTTCCCTTAACCAGGAACTCACTGTTTGAAAGGCTAAGCTAGGCTAGTGGTGGTTCCAGTTGAGCTCCTATCTCTGCCTCCCCAGCCCTGGGGCTAATAGGCACACACCCATTTCTCTGTTCATTTGTTCTAAATTGTCTCTTCTCTTTTGCTTACCAGCTTTGGTTAGTGGATTCTGCTACAAACACACCCACGCACACACACGCATGCACACGCACACACACACACTTTTTTTCTTCTGTGAGTATGTGTATTTGGTATGCATTTAAGAGGCTAGAGGGCAACTTGGAAGAATAGTTCCCTCCTTCTGCCATGTGGTTTCCGGAGGATGGAACTCAGATCCAGAGGTTCGGCAGTAAGCATCTTTCAGCCACTGAGCCGTCTTGCCAGCCTCTTGGAGGCTCTGCATAGAATCGTACCTGACTAATAGAACTGGGTGATCTGTTCTAGACAGTTGCATCCATGATTCAGCCTCGAGAAGGTTGGAAGGCTTCTCATTTACTTGAATTTCAGGCTTAGGTGCCCCACTGGGGACTCCCTTTGATTGCTGCTCCAGCAAATGCTTCTAATGGAACCAAGTGCTGGTGACATTAAAAGGCCATCATGCTATGTCAACGGTGCCTGGGCACCTCAACCAGAAAGACAATTATATATGATGTGTGTGTGTTATATGTAATCATATGTATTTTATCTTCAGTGCTTAATTTTTAAAAATTATTCAATAAATTTTCTTCAATACATGAATGAATAAGCAAACTGAGAAGTTGTCGGTGAACCTCTCCTTAACAGAACCAAGAATACGGTTAATAGGGGATCATAATTGCAGCCCTTGCTCAGCTCTCGGGACCTCCTAAAATCTGCATGATGTGAGTGGACCTGGCTGCAGGCTGATCCCGCAGGCTAGCAGGCGCCTCCTTGCTCCCTCGCTGCTCCTGTAGTATGCACCCTCTTGAAGCTTCCTACACAGTCTAAGGGGGTGGCCTGCCCTGAGAAAGGAAGAACTTTCTTTGAAGAGTACAAGAGTAGCTGTGCCCCCCTGCTAGAATCTTCAAACAAGCTCGGAAAGTCCTTGTGTGAAGCAGTGTATGGAAGCCTAGCTTCCAGGACTCCAGCAAACGAGGCATTGCCTGTGGCAATCTGCCTTCAAAGTGAAACTGAGCATAAACCTGATGAATTTCCCGGGTTGTATAGTTCTTTCTGTTGGGTATTCTTTCTCTCATTTTTAGCCACTTGGACGACTCCCTAACATGTTAAGTCTGTCTTGATTTCTTGATTAATATATTCTTGATTCTAATTATGTGTGTGCATGCGCACACACACATGCACACTTGAACATTATAGGGGTCTCTTGGGTTTTGTCTTCTTGCAGTGAAGAATTCAGTCTAGAGACATAGACAGAACAGAAGTTTACTGAACAAAGCAAGCACTTCAAGGAATCTGGGAAACAACCCGATGAGTTCTGTGTTGTGAATGTTAAAGTTTTTTATGGGTATTTATGTGGCAGGTTGTGTATTCACGCCAGAAGATGACCCTTTGCCTTCCCAGATCATGAGGGACAGGATTTCCCTTTTAGGCAATTTCCTCTCATGATCTTAGGGGAAGCGCACCAATGTAGTGCGCAAAGGAGTACAAGGATAGTGCGAATGATGCTTCAGTGAAATCCAAGTCTTTTGAGGGTACAGACCCTTCTGGGGTACATGTGTGTAGGAAGATGCTCCGGTGGCTTAGTCACTGTTTCGACAGGAGCATTGAGTCTGCAGCTTAAGTGAGACACGGCTGCCGTCTTCTTCAGGTATCTAACTCTTTGCCCACCAGGTGTCATATATAATTCTATATTATCCTCAGTACTACACATAATTATCCATTCAATAGCTAGTGGATCCCTGCCACACACTGGGGCTAGGCTTTGGCACTAAAACAATGGAAAAGACCAACACGGTTCCTACCATACTAGGCTTGAAGCCCAGAGGAAAAAGATAATAAAAAGCCTGTTGAGTGGCAAAAGAATTACAAAGTTGGAGGAGTTCTTGGCAGTTACCAGGGTCCTGAGAACATTAATAATTGTGGAAAGTCTCACTAAGTGGACTGTCACAGTGGGTGTCTGAGGAGCACAGGGTCCAGGTGACAAGAGGAGGCAGTATCATCGACCTCCAGCTGCCGGAATAGGAAGACCTGACTCACATGAGGTGTGCAGGGTCTGGCAGATGTTGAGGTGCCAGGTTTGTACTTACTTCTGCTCTCTGCCCATAGTTATTCTGGTCTCATGGTGGGGCTATCCTTAGCTAAGGGGACCCTTACATCTTCCTGAACCTGTGCTGGATTTAGCATTGGAAATCTCCACTACGTCATTGTCTAAGTCTCAACAGACTCCCCTGGAAACAGGATGACACAATGAGTCAGGAATAGAATATGAGGCCATCCTGGGTGTCCAATATGAAAACGGGTCTGTGGGTAAGATTGCGGACAGGATGCCCAGAGCTTCCCGTGTGGTCCTAATGGCCCCTCCGTGCATGAATGCATGAGGAAGAGCAAGGTTCGTGGCCCTTCCCATGGTTTTCTGAAGAGGTGGGGATCTTGCAGGGCTCTATCTAAATTGGCAGGGGTTGTACCTGTCACTTAGTACTAGGAAGAGGGGAAACATCCACTGAGGCCCTGCCCCTAAACCAAGCACAGCTGGCACTGTGGCTACCATCTGTCTGGATACTGGGGCTACCGTTTGTCCCAGCGCTGAGGCTACTATCTGTCCTGGTATAGGTACCGCTATACAATGCTCATTTGATACCATCACACCTGTAGGTACTACTGTCCCCAAGCCATGACATAAAGCATCAGGGGTTCAGAGACCTATGCAGGTCTGGACAGCCCATGCAGCCTATTTGGACTAAGGGGCTAATGGGCACTGTGAAAGGGTTGGTTTCCGCTTTCAGCTATAGTCTGGATTGAACGGGAATCAG